AAGTATAATATGTGCTATACTCTGGAATCTGATCCCTAGTGCTTACATAATCAAAGCAAAGCTGCTTGGTGGAGTCTCTGGGCCAGAATTATTCTTGGAGGAAGGGGGATTAGGTATATTTGTGGTATTCACCCTGAGATAGCTCAGCTCTGAAGGAGTAGAATATCTAATTTTGAGTAGAATATCTCCCTCAGGGTTGGTGAGGACATTTAAGAGAATTATCCTCCCTCCAGAGGCTAATTTGAAGTGGAATGGGCAGAAAGAAACATGCCCTGTCTCTGGTCTTGTCAGAATGTCCTAATGGTCAAGGAAATAGTAGGTGGTTTCCCAAAGCCAGGCTAGTTATTTAAAAAAAAAAGTCATCACTAAGCTGGGACAAGCAATAAAGATTTTTAAAATTCCAAAATATTTGTGAAATTCTTTTTTTTTTAATTTCTTAATGGTCATCATTGTCCTTTTATCAAAGCACATTCTGTTAGGAAAACTTAAAATGTAGTTTGTTTAAAGTTTAAACAGCAGGTGATATATTACGTTGTTGATTTTTTTTCTGCCCTTGATATTAGCTATTTCTCTGAAGGCAGGGACATTACTCCTACAGCTTTTAAAAACATTTCTAATGGAATACCTCTAGTCCATTTTTAGATGATAGCTGTACACACACCCACACCCACACACACCCACACCCACACACACACACACACACACACACACACACACACGAGTATTTACTTTAAGTTGTCCAGAAATGAGTGGGAAGAAGAAAGCAGGATAGATCATGTTTGAGAAATGACACTGTACTTTTTGAGCCCAAGCTTCCTCCTGCCACAAAGGCCATCTTTTTAGCAGTATTCTTCCATTGATGCTAAATGACTATGAATCATGGAATACCACAGTCTCTGAAGAATTAAAGCCATAGGTCACACAAAGGGTAATAGAGTGTTGCGTGATTGGTATGAATAGCTAAAGTATGTTACTATTACAGAAATGTGCACCAAAAGTGCTATAAGAGATATCATAAAATAGATGAATGATTAAAATAAAAGAAGTGGGCTGGTCATGTAGCGAGACTGAGGATTAAAAAAAATGTGTGCTCCATTTCAATCCATCTCATAACAAGAGCTCTAGAGAAAGGACCTGAGTACATTGGGTGGACTCCTCATTGGAAGAAAAATACACACACACATGCACACACGCATATATATGCATATATATACCCATATGTATGTGTGTTATATAAATTGTATGTATATATGAGGGACAGAGACAGAGAGACACAGAGAAAAAGAGACAGTGAGAGGCAGAGACACGCATACAGAGAGACAGATAGACAGAGACACAGAGGTACCCCACATTGAAGAGTTCACTGAACTCCTTAAAATACATTTTTGTATATGTGTAAAACTATATAAGCTAACTATAATTGTTTAGATGTATATGACTATATATATGTATATAAATTAAAAAATCCAGTTACTGAAGTTGATTACGAGGGTGATATGATGCTGATGCCATGTCATATAAGGAATTAGGGTTTTCCTAGAAAAGAAAAATATTTTGGGGGACTCATTGTGTTGTTCAATTGTTCAGTCACATCTGATTATTTGTGACCCTGTGGACTATAGCATGCTGATTCAATCCATGGGATTTTCTCGGCAAAGACACTGGAGTGGTTTTCCATTTTCTTCTCCAGTGGATTGAGGCAAACAGAGGTTAAGTGACTTGCTCAGGATCATACAAGTAGTAAGTGTCTGTGGCTAGGTTTGAACTTCGGTCTTCCTAACTTCAAGCCCAGGACCACTGAGCCACCTAGCTGCCTCTAGGGATCATTATAGCTTTGAAGGAATCACATAGAGGAAGGAACAGAATTATCTCACCTGACTTTATCTGGATGGGTGGGGAGGAAAAGTAGAACCAATGAGTGAAAAGTACAGGGAAGCAATTTTCAACTCAACACAAAAGGAAAAATTTCCAAACATTAGACTGGACTAAAAGTAGAATGCATTGCTTTGTGGTATGGTGGAATTTCCATCACTATGGGTATTTAAGAAAAACAGTCATGACTATTTGCCAAATATATTAGGAGAGAGTTATCCTCCGTTGGACGAAAAGCTTGATTTGAAGCCTTTTGAGTTCCTTCCATAAGGTAAAATTCTGTAGAGTCATACTGCCATTTCATTAATCAGCTACTGAGTTTACTCTCTTTCAATGGAGTTTTTGTATCTGATTAATTTTGTTCCTATTGTGTTTTCAATTTGAGTGTTTCATTCTTCATAAAAGTGGTAAGGTCTCTCTCTAATCAATCTATTTGGAACCAATGTAATTGTTGATGGTTAATATAACCACAGGATAAGGAAAATAACACTGACTTGTAAAGTGTGGTACAATACTATATAAAGAGCCTGATGTAAGTTTTTTTAAATATTATGATTGTTTATGTTTGTTAGAGATAGACTTTTTCAGGGAAATCCTAGGGCTTAAGCTTGACAATATTTCACTTCTCAATTATTACAGTGTGTAATTATAATTAAAAGTCTCCTGTGTTAGGTAGTCCTAAAAACATCACTAATGTCCCAAGGTCTGACTAAGAAAAGTTAAGCTTTTATTTTCATAGGGAACATTCACTTTAAAACTCTGGTTTCTGATTAGAGCAGACTGAAAATTAGTTAGAGAATTAGTTAGAAAATTAGTTAGAATACATATACTATGTGTATTATTTATGCTTCCCTTACTGGCATTTTGATATAAAGATAGCCTTTTGCACCCAATTCCTTAACATGGATCATTTCTCGGGAAAAATTGAATATAGCAGCTAACTATATATATGATATTTTGCTCTTTCAGTATCAAATTATTCCAAAGTGGCAGTCTCAAAAGCAGTAAGTGCCTATTAATTGACATGATACTAAAAAGCATATTTTTATAATTAACTATATTGTAACTGATGCAGATTCTAAACATAATTCTGAACTCATGAGTTGTACAACAGCCCTGATGCTTATGGTTTTCTCCTCAAGCCTATACTCATTTGCTAGACATTTGCTCAGTATTAGGTGGGCATGAGATGCACTTTTGTAAGAAGAATTGTGGAAGTGAAATTTCTTGTGGACTCATAAATGGGATTACATATACTGTTTATGGAGAAGCAAATAAATCTGAATACGAAAAAATGAGAGCTGTAGTAAAACTTCAGTTTCTACTTCCCCCAAATATTTTATGTACATATAGGTCCTGATAAGTATAAATAATGAATCTCTTGAAGTCTTCCCATCATTTGAATTTACACTGGGTATTTCAATTCGACTGAAACAAATGACCACATTTTACATAATTAAAACTTCAAAGAGTGTGAGTTTGAATAGACACAACCACTTCATGGTACTGATAATTCTTGCTAATAAGGATCTGGATATAACTTTCTGCAGTATTGGATATCATGAGGCCATCTTTATTAGGAAATCAGATAGGTTTCTAGGTAACATTGATAATGTTAGTTCTAAAACTTTGTCACATTTCTTTTTAAGGAAGTTTCAAAATTTTAATCCCAATCGGTACTAACCATATCAAATTTCCTGGAGATCATGTGAAATACTAGCACACTTTTTGTAGTATTATTTAACTCCATCTTAAATGGTAGTTTTTTTTTTTTAAATTTTGTTCCCTGATTGATTTCTGGGCTTCCTTTGACATATGTCTTGCACAATGTCACTTTTTAACAGGATTACATTGCAGAATCTTGGAATTTCTGAAATAGTAGAGACCTTCAAGATCAGCTAGTTGATTTTACAGGTAGAGATCGAAGTTCATTGTTCCAAGTACCACCGATTTTATGTGGCAGAGCAATGCCTTAAACCTAGGTCTTCTGACTCTAAATCCAATACTTTTTCTACTACATTATAGAATATCTATGACTATCACAGAGGGAAGCACAAATTAGGTTCTCAGTAAATGGTTGTTGGTTGATTAAATCACTGTTGTATCACAGAATGTTTCTGAAGGTCATGCTTTAGCCATGAAACTTATCCCTTGCCCAAGTTCAATGGGTACATGTTCCATTTTACTAAGACTGAATGGAAATCAGATATATACATTACTCATAGATAACAGAGAGAATCTAATATAGTTTTCCATATGATGTTTGTTGATTTAATCAGAATCTGCATGTAGAGAAAAATTTTAAGCCTACTTTTTTTTTTTAATAGAGATGCTTATATTTTTAACCTACTTATTTGACAAGTAATAGGGTAAATAGATAGGAAGATATGTTAACACATTCAGGGCTAATTCAATTCCTTTCAACAAATGAATGTTTTACAGACCAAATGAAATTTTTGAGGTCTGTTGAATTTTGAAAACTCTTTGAAAGATTTGTTACTTTATATTCATTGATCATTTCTGGTGTGCTAAGTATATTTGGAGATCCTGGATTTAAAATGGTGGACTTCCCTCAGGCCTGAAGGATGAAATTACACAAGCATACACACACACACACACACACACACACACACACACACATATGTGTTAAAGTTAAAAATAAGGTAATCTACACGGATGCTACTAGAACATGAAGTTATCCATCAGTTATCCCTTGCTCTTGCTACATGACTGGTCTACCTCCTTCCCCAGTCATACATTTCTGATGATATCTTTTATACTTACTCATCTCTTGCAAAATTATTTTTGAAAATTTTTATTGATGATTTTATTTTTCCATCATAGTAATTACTGGTTATAATCTCCCTATCCCCATTTCAAACCCTACCTTAGAATGAAACCCTCCCTTATAACAAAGAAAACAGTTAAGCCAAACAATTAATACTATAAGTAGTATTTGACCACTTATACATGTTTGTCACTGAAGTCTCTCTGCTGAGAGAAGCATGTTTCAATATTCTTTTTTCAGGGACCAATATGTGAGCGTTACATGCAATATCAGATTTTTTGGATATACTGATTAGTTTTATAGAACTTTTTTTCTTTTTTCTTCTTTACTAGGGGAAGGGAAGGGAAGACAACAAACATTTGTTAAGCTGCTACCATGGGTCAGGCTCTATGCTAAATACTTTACAAATATCTCATTTGATCCTCACAACAATCTTGGGAGGTAAGTGCTATTATCTCCATTTTTATAGTTGAAGAAACTGAGGCAGATAGAAGTTAAGTTATTTGCCCATGGTCACATGGTGAAGTTGCATATGAACACAGGTTGTTCTGATTTCAAGTCTGGCATTCTATTTCACCACTTAGCTGTATTTATTGTAAAGGATGGCTTTCTAGGATAGAATAGGAATACAATAAAAAGTGCAAGTAATATAAAAACAAAATATATCAATAACATATGTGAATATATGTACATACCTATAGGTATGTTATATATATAATATATAACAATAATTTATATTCCATATACATGTATGTATATATAAAGTATTATGAAATTTCATGAAGGCAATCTAACCCATTTACTTTCTCCTTTTCAATTATGAGTCTATTTCATGATCTATTGATACTATATCCAAGACATAGGCACTGTTGAACCAGATATATAGGTTGTTCTAACAACAGGATAATGATTTATCAAAATTTAAACAAATTATTCTTTCTTGCACAAAAGGCTTATGACCAAACTTTTGGGATTCAAAACTCCTTATTTCCCTGGTTTTTTGGGGTTTGTTTTGTTTTTGTTTTAGTATGAACTAAGTAATCAAGAAACACAAACACAGCAATACAATAAGGAGAAAAAAAAGCCAAAAAGAGAATTGTGTGTGAAACCATGAACATATTTTATTTATAGATTTATGATTATAAAGTATATGTTAAATTTAATGAGGCAGTAAGAAAATTTCTATTTGTTTTGGTCCCCTTTTGAAATTTTTTGATTTCTTCTGTATATTTTCAATAGGCTTTATTGATTTTTCTTCTTTTTTTTTAATCTTCATTACTTCAAACTAACTCACACTACACACCCCTCCCCCCAAAACTCCCAACAATATGTCATTGTATAATCAAGTAAAACATAGCTCTGTCTCTGTCTCTGTGTCTCTGTCTCTGTCTCTCTTTCCTTGGTCCCTCCTCAAGAATCTGTTTTTCTTGTGATCATCCCCTTCCTTAATCTATTCTGTATTCTGTCACCATTCCCCACCCCTTCTCTTATCTTCTTTCCTTCCTACTTCCTACTTCCTAGGGTAAGATGATTTTCTACAACCAATTGAATATGTATGTTATTCTTTCTTTGATCCAATTCTGATGAGAGTAAGGTTCAAGCATTGCCCCCACCATTTCTTCTTCCACTGTTAAAGCTCTTCATTTTGTTTTTTTTTAAATAAATTTATTTATTTTTAGTTTTCAACATTTACTTCCACAAGATTTTGAATTCCATATTTTTACCCCATCTTGCCCCTCCCTACACCCCAAGATGGCATGCATTCTGAATACCTCTTCCCCTAGTCTCCCCTCCCTTCTATTTCTCCCCTTCCTTCTCTTATCCCCTTCCCCTTCTATTTTCCTGTAGGGCAGGATAGATTTCTGTACCTCATTTCCTGTATTTCTTATTTGCCAGTTGCGTGTGGAAACATTTTTTTTTAACATGTGTTTTTAAAACTTCGGGTTCCAAATTTTCTCCCTTCCTCCCACCCCACCCACCCTCATTGAAAAGACAAGCAAGTCAATACAGGCCATACATGTGCAGTTATGCAAAACACTTCCATAGTAGACATGTTGTGAAAAACTAACTCTATTTCCCTTAATCCTATCCTGGCCCCCCCATTTATTCTATTGTTTCTTTTGACCCTGTCCTTCCTCAGAAGTACTTCCTTCTGATTACCCCTTTCCCAATCTGCCAACTCTATCATCCCCCTGCTCTCTTGTCCCCTTCCTCCCCTATTTTCCTGTAGGGTAAGACAGATTTCTATACCCAATTGAGTGTGTATGTTATTCCCTCCTTAAGCCAAATTCTATGTGAATAAGATTCCCTGATTTCCTCTCACTTTCCCCTGTTTCCCCTCGACTGTAAGAACCTTTTCTTGTCTGTTTTGTGCAAGATAATGTACCCCATTCTACCTCTCCCTTTCTCCTAGTATGATCCTCTCTCACCCCTTAATTTTATTCTCCAGATATCACCCCTTCATCTTCAACTCACCCTGTGCCACCTATCTCTCTCTCTCTCTCTCTCTCTCTCTCTCTCTCTCTATCTATCTATCTATCTATCTATCTATCTATCTATCTATCTATCTATATCTATCTATCTATCATCTATCTATCTATCTATCTATCTATCTATCTATCTATCTATCTATCTATCTATCTATCTATCTATCTACCTATCTATCTATACATACATATAATTTTTTCCCTCCCACTACCCTAATGCTGACAAAGGTTATAAATATCATCTCTCCATGCAGGAATGTAAACAGTTCAGCCTTAATAAGTCTCTTATGGTTTCTCTTTCCTGTTTACCTTTTCATGTTCCATTTGAGTCTTGTATTTGAAACTCAAATTTTCTATTCAGCTCTGGTCTTTTCATCAAGAATGCTTGAAAGTCCTCTATTTCACTGAATGACCTTTTTCCCCCTGAAGGATTATACTCAGTTTTGCTGGGTAGGTGATTCTTGGTTGTAATCCTATCTCCTTTGCCTTCCAGAATATTATATTCCATGCCCTGTGGTCCTTTAATAGAGAAGCTGCTAAATCTTGTGTTATCCTGATTGTGTTTCCACCATACTTGAATTGTTTCTTTTTGGCTGTTTGCAATATTTTCTCCTTGACCTGGGAACTCTGGAATTTGGCTACAATATTCCTAGGAGTTTTCCTTTGGGGATCTCTTTCAGGAGGAGATCAGTAGATTCTTTCCATTTCTATTTTGCCCTCTGGTTCTAAAATATCAGGGCAGTTTTCCTTGATAATTTCTTGAAAGATGATGTCTAGGTTCTTTTTTTGATCATGGCTTTCAGATAGCCCCATAATTTTAAAATTCTCTCTCCTGGATCTATTTTCCAGGTCTTGTTTTTCCAATGAGATATTTCACATTTTTCTAATTTTTTTCTTTTGGATTTGTTCTACTATGTTGTGATTTCTCATAAAGTCACTATCTTCCAATTGCTCTATTACAATTTTTAAGGAAGTATTTTCTACAGTAAGCTTTTGGATTTCCTTTTCCATTTGGCCAATTTCTCTTTTTAGGGCATTCTTCTCCTCATTGGCTTTTTGGACCTCTTTTGCCATTTGGGTCAGGCTATTTTTTAAGGTGTTATTTTCTTCAGTATTTTTTTGGGTCTTCTTTAGCAAGTTGTTGACTTGTTTTTCATGATTTTCTTGCATCATTTTCATTTCTCAGTAGAGTTTTTCCTCTACTTCTCTTACATGCTTCTCAAAATCCCTTTTGAGCTCTTCCAAGGCCTGGGACAGATTCATATTTTCCTTGGAGGCTTTGGATGTGGGAGCTTTGACTTTGTTGTCTTCTTCTGGTTGTATGTTTTGATCTTCTTTGTCACCAAAGTAAGATACTATAGTCTGACTCTTTTTGTGAGGTTTGCTCATGACCGCAGCCAACTACTTGAGTTTTAAACTCTTTGTTAAGGTAAAAGTCTGCTTCCAATGTGGTCAATATACTGTCCCAAGCTTTGGGGATTTGTATAGCTGTTTTCAGAGATACTTCTAGGAACCTATAAATTTTCAGTTCTTCCAAGGTGGTATGATAAGGGTCAAGGTGTTTTTACTCTTTTCCTGGCCTGAGCTCTGGTCTTTGAGTGAGCAGCCACAAGCAGTCTTTTCTCTCTTGGAGCTGTGAGGAGGGTTTCCTCTCTACTGCCACTACTAACTCCACCGTGCCCACTCCTCCTCACTCCAGCACCGCCCCTCAGAACTGTGACCCATATCCAAGCTTGGGCAAAGCAAGAGATTCCTGCCTCAGCACCAGCAAAGAGATCCCTGCAGTCCCCCTCTGATCAGCCACTTAATTCTCCCTCAGTCTTTGGGCTGGAAGCTCAGGACACAGCCACTGCCCTGGCACCCTCACTCTGAGCTCTGTGCTCTGGAACTGGCTCTGACCTAGCTCTTCTCTCACCGCAAAAACAGACTTTTCCCACTGACCTTCTAAGTTGTTTTTGGCATTAGTGGATTGAGGAGTCTGGAAGCCACCACAGCTGCCAGCGATTCAGTCCTCTGAGGTCTGCTCTAGGTTTGCTGCGGCCTGTGCACCCATGCTTGAACTGTGCTCCTTTTAACGTACGGCGCGATGTACCTTTCTGATCAACCATCCAGGCTGTCTTGGGCTGGAAATTTGTTTCACTCTGTCTTTTTGTGGGTTCTGCTGCTTTAGAATTTGTTTAGAGCCATTTTTTATGGGTATTTGGAGGGGTTTGGGGGAGAGCTCAAGCAAGTCACTGCTTTCACACTGCCATCTTGGCTCCACCAAAGCTCTTCATTTTGTACCTCTTTTATGTGAGATAATTTCCCCCCCTCTTCCCTTCTCTTCTCTCTTCTCCCAGTGCACCCCTCTTTCTTACCCCTTAATTTTAATTTTTTTTACTACCTTGTTCAATTTAATGCATACTTTAATAAAAGCTATATAAAAAAAATTCCCAATTTCACACACAATCAACTTTTTTTTTTCTATATTGAAATGTTTGATGATCATTGTTAGGGTGTTAATAAAAGTAAAAACTTTGTTTTCTTCTCCCAAAAAGCTAAGGGGATATTATTCTTTCTGAAGCAGCAAGGTACCCTGAAGCAGTAAGAGGCAGCTTTTGCCAGACAATTCAATCTATCCACCACCACTTCAAATATGATCTCCCCTTAGACTCTAATGGAGAGAACTCAGAACTCCAAACACAAAAGCCTTGGGAATAGTGGTACTATCTCCTTCCTTCACCACCACCACCCCAAATTAGGATACTTAATACTGCTCTTGATTTCATCTCTGACCCTACAGCCATCATAAAAGGGAGTAGTCACCAACCGTTAACTGCCACCAATACAGGTAAACCCAAATGGCTTGAGTTGAAGAAGATGCAATACCTCTTGCCCTACTTCCAGCCTAGCTCCAGGAGTAATCTTACCAGAAAGCCTATGAACAAACAATATTACAACTGTTTCTTTAAGTGC